GATGAGCGCGTTTCATATTTCATTAATTCATTTGTGAACTACAAAGATTGTATTATTGTTGTTGTTGTTATGTGCCATCGAGTCGTTTGCGACTCATAGCGACCCTATGTACAACCTCCCTAAACCCTGCTCTATCCTGTGCCAATCCCATTGCCTCTGACACACCCATCCCAATTACCCCAGTCACTGAATCAATCCACCTCATAGAGGGTCTTCCCCTCCTGCGCTGTCCCTCCACCCTACCAAGCATGATGTCCCTCTCCAAGGATCTGTCTCTCCTTACAAGATGTCCAAAGTATGTCAGACGAAGCCCCAGAATCCTTGCCTCCAAGGCGTAGCCTGGTTTAACCCTAAGATGAATCTGTTTGTTTTCTTGGAAGTCCATGGAACATTCAATACTCTTCTGCAGCACCACAGCTCAAAGGCGTCAATTCTCCTTCTATCCTCCCTAGTCATTGTCCAACTCTCGTGGCCTAGTGGCAAGAAGCTGCACTGCAATCTCAGAAGTTCAAATCCACCAGATGCTCTCCTGAAGAAGGAGGGGCAATCTCCTCCTGTACCAGTCAGATCCGATGTGTATTATTACACTGAGATAATCTCAGAGATGACATGCCACACTCAGATTTTATTAAAGATTAATATGAGGAATCACCACAGCAACACCTGCTCTCCATCGTCCCTAAAACTGCTCCTAAACATGTTACTCATTATGATATTCTAAAGATGCAAGCAATAAATTCCTCTGGAAAAACAAGTTGGCCCAATTTTCTAAATAAATATAGCTTTCTTTTATAATGTTGCATTATTCCTACATAACTCACGTTTCCTTTTGATTTTGCCTGCCAGAAAGCTCGGAGCTATATTCACTGCCAAGCCACAGTAACAAACAGCTGTCTGATTTTGCAGAGAAAAAACCCCTCTACCCGAAGGACTTGAGTGTTTACCCTCAACAAAATGGTCCCGTGGCATATGTGGCTCATTTTATGAGCTGTTGCCAGTCCAATTTGGAAATAGGCAAGGATTAGACAGTAAACAAACAAAAACATGAGTGATTTGGACAAAGCAGAGTTGATCTCTGGCAACAGGAAACAATTCCATGGAGACATTGGGTGGTACCAAATGCCAGTAGGCATGTTGTGTAAACCTGGAGCTCTGCTCTGAAGTGAATCTGCTTCTGGCTACAGCTGGGGATACCTGAGTTTTTTTGATCCTCAGATCCACGCTAGCACTGATCCATTCCATGTTACCAGTTGCAGAGAGGGGGTTTGTCACGGCACCTGACAATGATCCCAGCTCAAAAGACTGGTAAGGTAACAAGGGTCAGATAAACTAGCAATTCACACTGCTTCTAAGATATTTAAAGTAGCTAATGAAATAAAACCCTGCTATATTAAAAAGGAAATAAGCCAACTTTAAACAGAAACATGAGCAATTCCTAGGAAATAGTGTTTGTCTATGTACGTGTTAATTTTTAAAAAAACTCTCAAGCTCATTATTTTCCAGGTGGAAACAAGTCCAAGCTGTCCCTCCACTGAGTTTCTGAGGTTGTAAGTTACTTGGAAGGAGATTGCCCATCTTTCTCCATCAGAGATGCTGGAGGACACAAAGTGCCTTTGACTTGGCAGGGCAACTCCCTGTGGACAGCGCCATCGGAACCTGTGAATATTTATCACAACATTCAATTATTGTTCTGAAAGATCAAATATTTATCCCTATGGATAACATTATATAGATAACTTTATAACATATTAAGGGCTGGATTTATGGAGGTAACTCGTGGTCGCTATGAAGCTGAATACTGTGTGACACTGATGTGTCAAATGCGATAATGGTTACCCATGGTGGTCAGTGTTTGCTGCAGCTCCCTGATTAAAACAAGCCTGGAAGCAGGAGTGGCATCTACTTTTGAAACAGCTTGACTCCAGAAACCCTATGAACTCGGAGAAAAAACGAAAGTTATAGAAGTGTTCAGGTCTTCCGTTCATAGGGTCGCTATAAGTCATCTACAACTCGACAGCACCTAACAACAACAAGGCTAAGAATGTGGAAAGAACCAAATTGGTTTGTGTACCTGATACAGGAAATTACTTGGTATGCATCAGACAGCTGAACAATGATAAGAGATGATAGAAGGAGAATTGATGCCTGTACGCTGTGGTTCTGAAGTATTGAATATGGACTGCCAGGAAAACAAATAGGTTTGTCCTGGAGAGGGTAAGACCAGGCTGCTCCTTGAAGGCAAGGATTCTGAAGCTCTGTCTGACATATTTTGGGAAGGTTACAAGGAGAAACTAGTCCTTGGAGAGAGAGCATGCTTGGTAAAGTGAAGGGACAGTGCAAGAGAGGAAGACTCTTCGTAAGATTGATTGACTCAGTGACTAGGATAATGGGAGTAGATGTGTCAGAGACAGTAAGTTTGAATCAGGATAGAGCAGAGTTCAGCACTGTTGTACATAGGGTCACTATGAGTCGCAAGCGACTTGATGGCACATGATAACAACAATATGATGCAAATGGTTTATCTCCATTATTTCATCCCTTAACATTTCATTTAAGCTTCACTCTCAAGCCCACTGTTGTCAAGTCAGCTCCAACTTGTGTCGGTGCTTCATCGTGTATCAGAAGCTGTAACTCTTAAAGGAAGAGCCTTCTCATCTTTCTCAAGCTGGGCCCAAGTGGCTCTGAACTGCCAAACGTTCAATTAGCTGCACAACATGTTACACACCCTATCACCACGGCTCCTTCGAGGAATACTAGTGTTATTTTCTTCTGCAATTCCCAAGCTCTTCAGTAACTTCCTGGTTAAAATGGTAGTGCTCTGACAGGAGGTATCTCCTGCTAGAAAAATAATTAAGACCCAGTGGCAGAGTGGAGTGAGCTCTGGTAATGTTGGTTTGACAACAGTGCCATGAGATCTCACAAGACAACTTTCTGCAACAGCAACTAAAAACCAGTGCTCTCAAATCTGTTAATGATACAACGTGACGTCAATATAATTGTGCCCAGAAGGTTGTCAGTGACTTCAGTTTTGGAAGACTTGGTTTTTAGGGCACATTCGGGTAGATTCAAACCTTTGGTTTAGCAACCTAGTACATTTACGCCAATCAAGGCTTCTGTATCAGCAACAGATACTCTCTCAGGCTGCAGAAACAGTTTGACATTTTCCAATCTGCAGTGAGCTGAGTTCACTGTCTCCAGCAGTAGATTATCATCAAAGAGATTTGCCTCAGCATTTACAGGAGATCCCAAACCAGTCCAAGTTCAAATGGGCCAGGCAGAATTCAAAAGCTTTGGATACTTTTGTTGTTGTTTTTTAATTGTTATTTTATATTTGTTTGCTTACAAAGTTCATGTACATTGAGTTTCATACCTTTCTTCATTCATATTGTGTTTCTTTCTGATATTCTACATATGGGGCTTCATTCATAAGACCACAATAGGTTTTGCTCAACAGACTAGAGTCGGGAATAGAAGTATTCCTGCTCCCAAATCTCAGTCTTTCTTGGCACTGCTGACAGAATAAATTACAGATAGTAATTTACCTTGAATCTTTCTGTAAATTAATGAGATCAACAACCAGCAAGTGGCTCACGAAACACCCTCAATATATGCCAACTTTTCTTCTTTTATTATAGATAAAGTATGTCCTATCGGAATGCTCAGAGAAGGTGCCTGTTAACACTGGAGGGGGAATTCTGACTATTTAATCCCCCATTAAAACGCAGTGAGCAGAAAGATGCCTGAAATTAAAACCTAAGAGAGAAGCTGTGGACTACGTCAAAGGAGAGTCCAAGCTTTGTCATTTTGTTTGGAACCACAGTGAGGTTCTTTCCTACTGAAAAACATCACTGCAGCTTTCCAAGCACAGAGCTGGGCTGGGGCAGAATGGCAGTATCATTGCTGAATCCAGATCACGTAATCAGCAACCCACTGGACCTGGATAACACTTCTCACGGTCAACAGGACCCTCTTTATCCAAAAGGACTCTATATATGTAGACTGTCTGTGGTAATGCTGCATTGAAAAACAAGGAACTCATGCAATATTATTCAAAATGGGTGACCCTGGAGGACATTATGCTGAGTGAGGTATCTCAGTCACAA